TAATTTGGAATACAATGTTTTTAATGATTGTTTGTAATATTGATGTTGGAAGCCAGCCTGAGTCCCTCGATGGAGGTGAGAAGACCGGTGTACAAAACTGCAAAATAAATAAATAGACACTGAGAAATGGGAAGCCCTGGCCCTTGAGCGCTCCAGCTGGAGGTCAGCTGTGACCAGCAGTGCTGCAGAATTTGAAGAGGCACGAATGGAAGGCGAAAGAAATGTGCCAGGAGGAAGGCGCGTCAAGCCAACCCCGACCGGGACCGCCTTCCGTCTGGAATCCAATGCCCTCACTCTAGGAAAACACGCAAGTCAAGAAGAGGGCTCCACAGCCACCTATGGACCCACTGCCAGGACACCGGACTTGGAGAACCATCATCCCCAGACTACGAGGGAGCGCCTTATTATAAGTCCTGGGTCCCCATGTTGTGATCTGGTCATCGGCCGTAATGAACTTTACTTACTTGACTTCATGATTTATTTATTTATTTATAATTCGAACTTCTATGCGGCCACTCCCTTCCCTGGGGCTCGGAGCGGCTTACAAGAATGGCTAAAATCTAACACAATTTAAAACAATTTAAAAACAACACTATCAAACATTAAAAGCCTTTCGAGACAGGTATGTCTTCCATGCCCTGCGGAACACTGGTAAGTCCCGCAAGGCACGGACTTCAGGTGGCAGAGTGTTCCAGAGGGATGGTGCCACTGCTGTGAAGGCTCTGCGCCTGGTTGCTGTTAGACGCAAGGTCTTGACACTGGGGACTTCCAATAGATCTTGGTCCTCAGAGCGGAGGGATCTCTGGGGTTGGGAGGGGGTGAGGCGGCCCCTCAGGGACATCAGCCCCAGACCGTGCAAGGCCTTCAAGGTGAGTCCCATCCCTCTGAAAGTGATCCGGTGCTCAATGGGTAACCAATGCAGCTGGAGTCAGATTGGGGTGATGTGGCATCTCATCGGAATTCCCGCAAGAAGCCGAGCAGCTGCATTCTGTACCAACTTGAGCTTCTGGATCACCGACAGGGGAAGGCCAATGTAGAGGGCGTTACAGTAGTCCAGTCTTGAGATGACCGTGGCCTGGATGACCGTAGCCAGGTCGTCCCTGGACAGGGAGGGGGCCAGCCGTCTAGCCTGCCGCAGGTGAAAGAAAGAAGGCGGTTCTGCTCACGGCGGAGAGAGACCTGGGCCTCCATCCTCAGCAGAAAGAGGGTCCACAAGGACTCCCAGACTCTTGACCAACGATGACGGGTGTAGCGCCTCCTTGCCATCCAGGTAGGCAGCTGGATGTCCACACTGCCCGGTTGACCCAGCCAGAGGATCTCCGTCTTTGCTGGATTCACCCTCAACCTGCTGTCTCTAACCGGATGCATGCTGTTCACAAGGTTTGGTCTTGTGTTCTTTGAAAGGCTTCCCAAGGGATTTGTGTTGACAAATGAAACTGCTTGGGCAGCCTTCTCATTGGGGTCCAAGTTTTCCAAAGGCCATCCATCTCACAAGGCCAGTGCAAGACTCCTTACTATTGATGAGGCCTCTCCCACTTTTCCTCCAAAGACCTCAGCATGGCATCCAGTTGGGCTTTGAACTGCCTGGACAGGTGAAAAGGGAAATCTGCAAAGGATGCAGCAGCTTTGGAGCTATAATAAAGCTGCACCAGCAGAGGGCCCTCCTGCTTCAGAGATGGTCCTTCATATATAGGACAAGGCTAGCTGGAGACTGGCAATCTACTCCTATGCCTTTGGCATAGTTGAATGTAGTAATCTATATATATAAAAATGGTCTGTGCATAATGAGTTCCTTAAAAACAAAAGAACCAATGAACGAAATCACACCACATTTGGCAACAAAACGTCTCACAACACAAGGAGTGACCATCATTCAAAAAATTATGATTTTGTCATTTGGGAGTTGTAGTTGCTGGGATTTATAGTTCACTTACAATCAAAGAGCATTCTGAACTCCACCAACGATGGAATTGAACCAAACTTGGCACACACAACTCCCATGGCCAACAGACAACACTGGAGGGGTTTGGTGGGCATTGGCATTGAGTTTGGGAGTTGTAGTTCACCTACATCCAGAAAGCACTGTGGACTCAAACAATGATGGATCTGGACCAAACTTGACACAAGCACTCAATATGTCTAAATATGGAGTTTGGGGGAAATAGATCTTGACATTTGGGTGTTGTAGTCACTGGGATTCACAGTTCAACTACAATCAATGAGCATTCTGAACCCCACAAACGACAGAATTTGGGCAAACTTCCCAGACAGAACCCCTATGCATGACCAACAGAAAATACTTAAGGCCATCCAGTCCAACTCCTTTCATCAGGGCAAGAAAATGTAAACAAAGCCCTCCTGACAAAGAGCAATCTAGCCATAGAGAGAGAGAGAGATAGACAGACAGATAGATAATATGATACACACACAGGGAGATATAGTATCATGGATTTGAAAGGGACCCCTGAAGAAGGACAATGATATGTTGCATGTTCCAGAGAAGGCAAACCAGACACTCTCCACATCAACACGGACAAAGAAACAACAAGAAATACTGTTTACCCACAAGCAGAAAGACATGACAGATATTAGAAACCAACACTTTCTCATTACTTTATTTTCCAGATCACCAGGCTGGGCCACAGCAACGCCTGGCAGGGGACCGCTAGTGGTTGAATATAGTGGTAATAAAATAATTAGTAGGAGTGAGATGCCAAATGAACCCTTAAAACAGAGCTTCTCAACCAGAGGTTTGGGACCCTTGTGCAAGTTGCAAAGGGGGTTTCAGGGGGGTTGCCTAAGGCCATCAGGAAACACACATTTCTGATGCCCTTAGGAACCCCTTTGGCAGAAAAGGCTGAAGATCTCTCCACCTACTCTTCTCTTCCTTTTTGGTGTTGGTGAACTACAACTCCCCGAATTCAAAAACAGCCCCCTCCAACCCCACCAGTATTCTGTGTTGGCCATGTAGGTAGTGCGCCAAGTTTGGTTCAGAGTGCTCTTGGATTGTAGGTGAACTACAAATCCCAGCAACTACAACTCCCAAATGTCACTGTCTATTTTCTCCAAACTCCACCAGTGTTCATATTTGGGCATATTGAGTATTCGTGTAGAGTTTGGTCCAGATCCATCATTGTTTGAGTCCACAATGCTCTCTGGAGGTGGTGAACTACAACTCCCACACTCAAGGTCAATGACCACTAAACCCTTCAAGTATTTCTGTTGGTCATGGGATTCTGTGTGGGAACTTTGGCCCAATTCTATCATTGGTAGGGTTCAGAATGCTCTTTAATTGTAGGTGAACTATAAATCCCAGCAACTACAACTCCCAAATGCCATGGTCTATTTTCTCCAAACACCACCAGTGTTCACAACTGGGCATATTGCATATTTGTGCCAAGTTCGGTTTAAATCCATCATTGTTAGAGTCCACAGTGCTTTCTGGATGCAGGTAAACTACAACTCCCAAACTCAAGGTCAACACCCACCAAAACCTTCCAGCATTTTCTGTTGGTTGTGGGAGTTCTGTGTGTTAAGGCAGGTTCAATTCCATTGTTGGCGGAGTTCAGAATGCTCTTGGATTGTAGGTGAACTATAAATCCCAGCAACTACAACTCCCACAGGATAAAATCAATCCCCTCAACTCCATCAATATTCAAATTTGGGCTTATTGGGTATTTGTGCCAAATGTGGTGCAGTGAATGCAAATCCATCCTGCAGCTCAAAGATTTACATGACAATTCATAACAGGAGCAAAATGACAGTAAGTAGCAACGGAAAATAATATTATGGTTGGGTTGTTGTAGGTTTTTTCGGGCGATATGGCCATGTTCTAGAGGCATTCTCTCCTGACGTTTCGCCTGCATCTATGGCAAGCATCCTCAGAGGTTGTGAGGTCTGTTGGAAGTAGGAAAAGGGGGTTTATATATCTGTGGAACAATGTCCAGGGAGGGACAAAGGACTCTTGTCTGCTGGAGCCAGGTGTGAAGGTTTCAACTGACCACCTTGATTAGCATTTGATGGCCTGGCAGTGCCTGGAGCAATCTTTGGTTGAGAGGTGATTAGATGTGCCTGATTGTTTCTCCTTTGTATTGTCGAAGGCTTTCATGGCCGGAATCACTGGGTAGTTGTAGGTTTTTTCGGGCTACATGGCAATGTTCTAGAGGCATTCTCTCCTGACGTTTCGCCTGCATCTATGGCAAGCATCCTCAGGGGTAGTGAGGTCTGTTGGAACTAGGAAAAGGGGGTTTATATATCTGTGGAACAATGTCCAGGGAGGGACAAAGGACTCTTGTCTGCTGGAGCCAGGTGTGAAGGTTTCAACTGACCACCTTGATTAGCATTTGATGGCCTGGCAGTGCCTGGAGCAATCTTTTGTTGAGAGGTGACTAGATGTCCTTGTTTGTTTCCTCTCTGTTGTTGTGCTGTTGTAATTTTAGAGTTTTTTTTTAATACTGGTAGCCATACTGGTAAAGCTATACCAGTAACATTAATACTGGTAATGTTATGGTTGGGGGGGGGGGTCACCACAACATGAGGAATTGTATCAAGGGGTCATCTTTCGGGGTTTTTTTTTAAATGCAGCGTGTGGGTCTCCTAAGCAGCTAATGCAGGGTGTTAATTGATCACAACATAGGTTGTAAGAGCGATTTTAAGTTTTGGCATGTGTTGCAAGATTTGAATTGCATTGCTTTGCGAGTTGTCGACCACTTTGCGCCTTGTTTAAGAGGAAGGGGTGTGATGATTACTATTATTTTTGCCCAGCCCTGTAGTAAAAATGCACCACTTACTTGGTTTCTGGGGCTGAGAATGCGATGCAAACCCCGTCCCTCCCCTTCCTCCTTCCAATCCCACTTTGCCCACCTGTGTGCAGTTAGTGTTGGGGAGGCAAAGGGCAAAGTCCAGGTGACTCAAGGGAACAACAAGGCTTGCCAGGTCAGAAGAAGATAAGAATTCACCTGAGAGGGAGTCCGAATGAGGACAGGGCTGCCGGGCCTCTCTTTCCTGGGAGCTTCTCGGTGTTCCCCTTCCCATAGGAGGAAGGGCCTTGCCGGACGTTGCCCACCCCACACAGGGATGCCCTCGGACCGACCCTACCTCAAGTGCGGACCAGAAAGGAAAGTGAGTTTTTAAAATACACACTGCATTCACCAAAATGTAGCATGACCTCCCATAGCAACGTTTCGCAACCTTCCCCAAAATGTTGTTGTTGTTGTTCAGTCGTCTCAGACGTTTCGTGACCTCATGGACCATCCCAGGCCAGAGCTCCCTGTCGGCCGTCCCCACCCCCAGCTCCTTCAAGGTCAGTCCAGTCCCTTCAAGGATGCCATCCATCCATCTTGCCCTTGGTCGGCCCCTCTTCCTTTTGCCTTCCACTTTCCCCAGCATCATTCACATGCAAATGTGAGTAGTTGTTGTTCATTTGTTCAGTTGTCTCTGACTCTTTGTGATCTCATGGACCATCCCAGGCCAGAGCTCCCTGTCGGCCGTCACCACCCCCAGCTCCTTCAAGGTCAGTCCAGTCCCTTCAAGGATGCCATCCATCCATCTTGCCCTTGGTCGGCCCCTCTTCCTTTTGCCTTCCACTTTCCCCAGCATCATTCACATGCAAATGTGAGTAGTTGTTGTTCATTTGTTCATTCGTCTCTGACTCTTCGTGACCTCATGGACCATCCCAGGCCAGAGCTCCCTGTCGGCCGTCCCCACCCCCAGCTCCTTCAAGGTCAGTCCAGTCCCTTTAAGGATGCCACCCATCCATCTTGCCCTTGGTCGGCCCCTCTTCCTTTTGCCTTCCACTTTCCCCAGCATCATTCACATGCAAATGTGAGTAGTTGTTGTTCATTTGTTCATTCAAAGAGTATTCTGAACTTCACCAATGATGGAATAGATCCAAGCTTGGCACACAGAATTCCCATGACCAGGGGCGGCTCGTCCATTATGCGAAGTAAGCGGTCGCAGAACACTTTTTTTTGCCAGGGGCACAGAGGACGCCTCTGTAAATGCCCCTCGACTGCCACTTGAGGAGCGCCCCCTCAGCTCACAACAGCCCTAGCAGTCTGGGGGGAGCCTCGGCTTTCTTGCTCGCTGCCAGGTGATCCTCTTCCCAAAGGGGCCAGGCCCTTGAGCCTCGCCTAGCCCCTCTCGTTCCTGCTCCACCCAGCCACCAGGTGCACGAGGAGAGCCGGTGCTCAATCGTTCTCCGCGTTCGATCCCTTCCCCATGAGTGGCTCCCTTTCCCGATCCCCCGGCGCTCCACCAGCCTCCTCTCCTCTCCCCAATCCGCGGGTGGGCCAAGGGGCGGAGCCGCCGCGTCTGGCCTGCTTCAGGTCCGGAGGCGTGCCTGAAGACCCCAGCATGCACACCAAAAGTCGCCTCTTCTCCTGACTTTCTCTTCAGCCATTGGGACCAAGAGAGAGAGGTATGGAGGTATCTCCCACCTCTGCTCCCTCCTTTGTTTTTGCGCCTACCTTCAGGAAAGGTGGGCATCTTCACCTCTCTCTCTCTCTCTCTCTCTTGGTCCCAATGGCTGAGGAGAAAGTCAGGAGAAGAGGTGACTTTTGGTGCACACGCTGGGTCTTCAGGCACGCCTCCGGACCCAAAGTGGGCCAGGCAAGGGAGCAAGTGCGGCAAGTGTAGTTACTGGGATGTATAGTTCACCTACAATCAAAGAGCATTCTGAACTCCACCAATGATGGAATTGAACCAGATATGGCACACAGAACTCCCACGACAAACAGAAAATATATATCAATGATTGGTTGGGGGGGGGGGCGCAAAATGCTGTTTGCTTACCTTTGAAAATTACCTAGGGCCGCCTCTGCCCATGACCAACAGAAAAGACTAAAAGGGTTTGGGGCCATTGATCTTGAGTTTTGGAGTTGTAGTTCACCTACCTCAAACAATGATCAATCTGGATCAAACTTGGCACAAAGACTCAATATGCCCAAATGTGAACACTGGTGGGTGTTTGGGGGAAATAGACCTTGACATTTGGGAGTTGTAGTTGCTGGGATTTATAGTTAACCTACAAACAAAGAGCATTCTGAACTCCACCAATAATGGAATTGAACCAAACTTGGCACACAGAACTCCTATGACCAACAGAAAATACTGGGTTTGGTGGGCATTGATTGACCTTTGAGTTGTAGTTCACCTACATCCAGAGAGCACTGTGGACTCAAACAATGATGGATCTGGACCAAACTTGGCACAAATACTCAATATGCCCAAATGTGAACACTGGTGGAGTTTGGGGAAATTGACCTTGACATTTGGGAGTTGTACTAGTTTTTTTTTTTTGACATTTTGAAAGAGAATTCCGAACTCCACCAGCAATGGAATTGATCCAAACTTGGCACACAGACCTCCCATGACCTACAGAAAATACTGGAAGGGTTTGGTGTGCATTGACCTTGAGTTTCGGAGTTGTAGTTGCTGGGATTTATAGTTCACCTACAATCAAAGAGCATTCTGAACCCCACCAGTGATAGAATTGGGCCAAACTTCCCACACAGAACCCCCATGACTAACAGAAAATTGGAAGTTGTGAGGGGATGACCCCTCTGACACCCCCTCGCGACCTCCCCAGGGGCCTCAGGTTGAGAAACGCTGACCTAGATTTATTTATTTATTTCGAACATTTTTTACCTCGCCCCCCTTCTCAACCCCTGGGGGGACTCAGGGCAGCTTCCAATTGGAAATGATTCAATGCCGCATCATAAAAGACAGAATAACAAATATAACAATTAAACATGAACATTAATGAATAAAGATTAAAACCGTATACTTACACTGATTAGCTATTGCCCGTCTGGTGGCTGTTGAGCTAGACATCTACTAATGATGACTCCGCTTCACTTATCCAAATCCTCTTCCATGCCATCGTCAAACATTATCCATTGTCCTTTACCCTGATTGCCCGAAGGCCTGGCCCCACAGCCACGTTTTAACCTTTTTTCTAAAGGTGAGGAGGGAGGACGATGACCTAATTTCCCCGGGGAGCAAATTCCTCAGGCGGGGGGCCACCACCGAGAAGGCCCTGTCAAGCGTGTTTGAGACAGAAGCAGGGCCGAGAGCAGGGCCTCCTCAGACGATCTTAAGCTCCGAGATGGGGCGTAGAAGGAGATACTTTTGGACAGGTACGCTGGACCGGAGCCGTATAGGGTTTTATAGGTCAAGACCAGCACTTTATTTATTTATTTATTTATTTATTTGCTTCATTTATATACCACTCTTCTCAGCCCTCAGGCGACTCAGAGCGGTTAACGACCAGTATCAACAACACAATACAAAATCATTAGTCATTTAAAACAGTAATGTCAATTAATTAACATCAAAACATCAATACAGCAAAACAACAATCCATCACGTCTCATCAATAGAATCAGCATCCGATCTCGTTGTCTATTAATCCATATTCCAGTAATCACTCAATTGCGCTGCTTAGTTGAAAGCCTGTTCGAAGAGCCAGGTCTCCACTCTCTTCCGGAATGCCAGAAAAGAGGGGGCCAATCTGATGTCTGTAGGAAGGGTGTTCCACAGCCGAGGGGCCACCACCGAGAAGGCCCTATCTCTCGTCCCCGCCAGGCGTGCTTGTGACGCAGGCGGGATCGAGAGCAGGGCCTCCCCAGACGATCTTAATGTTCTGGTCGGTTCATAGGTGGAGATGCGTTCGGAGAGGTAAGTGGGGCCAGAACCGTTTAGGGCTTTAAAGGCTAAAGCCAGCACTTTGAATTGTGCCCGGTAGCAAATTGGCAGCCAGTGGAGCCGGCACAGCAGGGGGGCGGGGTGTGTGCGTGCAGGATGCCCGATTCAGAAGCACCCTTTGACGCCAGAGTGTTCCTGTGGCAACTCCATCATCTCCTGTATTTTGCCTGTCTTGTGCTTCTCTTTGAAGCCTGGCACTCTGCACATGCTCAGAGGCCTTCCTTTGCAGGCCAAAGGTGGCAGGCAACCCAGTGGAACAGGAAGCGGTCTCCCTGGCAGTTTCCCCTGCAGAGCAAACACGGTTTCCAACAGAGATTGGCTTTGTTTTCCTCCTCCAACCTGTTCTGCCTCGTTTGGCTGTGGGTCCTCCAGCCAAAAGGTTAAGCAAACAGTCCCGGCAGCTCCTCCTTTCTTTCGTTGGCCCAGGACCTGCCAAAGGTCAGCCCTCCAGGTGTGTTGGGCTTCAACTCCAACAAGTCCTAGCAGCCAGTAGGGAGTTGAGGTCCAACACACCTAGAGGTGAAATATCAGGAGAGAGTGCTTCTGGAACATGGCTAGACAGTCTGGAACACTCACAGCAAACCAAGCTTATGATGACCTAAGGTGACCCTTGGGGTGTCCACACCAGGTATGGGCAAAGTTCAGCCCTCCAGGTGTGTTGGGCTTCAACTCCCACCCACAATTCCAAGCAGCCAATAGGGAGTTGAGGTCCAACATACCTAGAGGTGAAATATCAGGAGAGAATGCTTCTGGAACATGGCCAGAGAGTCTGGAACACTCACAGTAACCAAAGCTTATGATGACCTAAGGTGACCCTTGGGGGGGTGTCCACACCAGGTATGGTCAAAGGTCAGCCCTCCAGGTGTGTTGGACTTCAACTCCCACCCACAATTCCAAGCAGCCAATAGGGAGTTGAGGTCCAACACACCTAGAGGTGAAATATCAGGAGAGAATGCTTCTGGAACATGGCCAGACAGTCCGGAACACTCACAGCAACCCTTAGGTGATCATAAGCTTGGTTTGCTGTAAGTGTTCCGGACCGTCTGGCCATGTTCCAGAAGCATTCTCTCCTGATATTTCACCCACATCTCTTGGAAACTGGGTAAGTTAGGTTTATGTATCTGTAGAATGTCAAGAGTGGGAGGAAGAACTCTTGTCTGTGTGAATGTTGTGGTCGGCCACCTTGATTGACACTGAATGGCCCTGCAGCTTCAAAGCATGGCTGCTTCCTGCCTGGGGGAATCCGTTATTGGGAGGTGTTAGCTGACATATAAACCTCACTTGCCTAGTTTCCAAAAGACCTCACAACAGGGTGTTGTGAGTTTTCCGGACTATCTGGCCATTTTCCAGAAGCATTCTCTCCTGACGTTTCGCCTGCATCTATGGCAGGCATCCTCAGAGGTTGGGAGGTCTCT